CAGAAACAAGTACCTCTGGATTCGGTAAAGGATGTCATAAGAAAATACAATGAGAAAGTGCACACGGAGACTAGAGATCTGATTTTACAATGTATATTAAGTACAGTGAGTGAGGCGGCGAGACGTACTTGTGTTTTGACATCATAATCATAAAAATGTTATTTAATATACAGTAATCTCTTAATCACAAGCTCAAGATCCAGTGTGGAAAATAAAAGAAAATCATAAACGGGGTAAATTTGTTGACTAAAAACGCGAATCACATGGTAGTCAATAAAGTACAAAACATTCTTAATGGTAAAAACCTTTATTATATCCACGTCAGGAATAAATTATCAGAACCTTCTTCAGTATTTTGAGTTTATTATTTAACAGGTTTATGAAACTTGTAACACTGTTGATTATTCCATTTGTAAAATATTACGATGGACCCGTGAAGGTGGTGGTGATGACCTATAGATATCTTCACTACACATTAACATTAAAATAGAAAGAAAAAATAACAATCTGTTGGTGGTCATCCTCATAACTCCTTGACCTTTATGGGTAAGCTACATGATCTTGTCCGGTAATCTTCGTGAGGTCTGCCAGATAACTCCTTGAAGCTTGGACACCGGCAGTTGTTTCCTCCTCTGCCATCCAGGTGAAAAGTCAGTCTTCTCTCTTGAATTATTTTACGGGCGAAGTTCCTGCCAGGGCTGTTACACTTCGAGTGCGTCGCTGTTTCTATCACATTCATTCTCGTATTTTGTCAACTCAACACTATCCCCCAGTGTCGCCAAGCACTAAATGGGACAAAGAGAAAGCACTTCAAAGCAGACGCCCCTGAGTGCTTACAGTTCAGTTCGTTGGCTGGATGACGGTGTGGCCTGGAGAGAGTGATGACCCAACTCAACTCTGTTCGCTTGATTCACAGTACAGTTAAGGGAATGTTTATGAACTTATCTCTTGCTGTACTTGAATAAGAAATTTATACAACGGTATTTGAATCTTTCTGCTAGTCAATTGAGATGAGTGTTTCCTGTGTACATGTATACAAGAGTCTGTTTACTGCATCAACATACAGTACATCGTTTAGTATATACATTCAGTATAAATTAAACATTTCCAATACGTAACTACTTATATAAAATGTGTTATATTAAGATGAGATATAAAATTACGGTATATGATGCGTTAAGAATATATTAAACACCAGCAAAAGGAAATGAGAAAATAAAATTCGATCAGAACCAGTTACTACATGGGACGGCGCTGTGTTGGGTGTGCGGGACGGTCCAACACCCATTAGTCGCCGAAGAACAGAGATAGAATCCAAGTAATTACTTTAGTATATTGAGTAAAGTAATGTGTGGGGTTACATAACGTTCATCTTGTATATAAGAATTCTAAAACTATTTCTGTGCGGCGCCACACGTCAGCTTTAGGAGATAGAGTAGTAAGTTTTTCTTGAGATACAGGAACAAATCTTTCTATTTCCGTAGCAGTAGTAGTTCCTTTTGTGCGAATTCGAGGAAATATTTACCTTAAGTTAATCGGGGAGTGTGAGTGTGTGTGTGTGTGTGTGTGTGTGTGTGTAGATGTATTACTGTATACGTAAGAGTAAAAAAATAAGATACATTGAATAAATTTTAAGTTTTGAAATATTTTCTTACAAATTGTTGAGTTATAAAGTATCAACTAAGCGAGGGCATTGTCGACAACCCTTCACCTTTATTTTGATAACACTGCGTGAGTCAGTAACACTAATTAGGGAGTCGCTCCACACCTGTAAATTACATTCCTAATCCTTAGTAAAGAAAATGGAAAAATAAATCTTTAACATTCTTCCAATATTGTATTAAAAATAATGATTAACTAGTAAGATTCTGTTGTCCATCTTTAGGAACAGTTTATAGTTTACACGGGGGGGCTCCCCGTCTCTTCTAAGCTGGAGGTAGACGTCCCTCCATCACTGTCCTGTTCCTTCTCTGTTAAGTTGTCGAAGTTTGTCTCTTCTTTACCGTGAGTTTCAGGCAGGAACCTTGAAGAGATAAAAGGCAATAAATTTAGGAGAAAGAAGATGTGAACTATCATCAATCGTTCACCTCTATGATGTCAGATGGCGCTGTTGTTGACATTCTAAACCAAGTCTGTCAATACAAAGCGAACTACCCCATGGCTCCAGGTGCTTGATCACTGTTGGGCGCTTTTGTTATAAAGAAGACAAGGCTTCATAAACCCTGCATCTCCCACCTCAGCCATAGTTCATACGTCTAGAACACAGCCGTCAACACAGTTTTTATGCAGACAAAAGACTCGGGAGGTTTTGGGTATCTTTACCATTGGTGTTGAACTCAAAAAGCAGAAAGGATATACTTTTGGTTTATAAAGCTGTACCTCCTGTGTGATTGATTCAATCATTTTACATTTATTGGACTTTTTGACATTTTACTGCACGTCTGTTGACATAATCAGATAAAAATGAATGTTCCCTATGCAGCAGCTGGAGCATCAAACACAAGTTGACTATTCTTTTAATTTGGATAATTCTTGCTAAATTCTCTTAAAATAACTTACCTATATATAAAGATGAAGAGGAAACAGGAGGAGGTTATGAAGATGGTGAAGGAGAATTCGTCCAGCGCTCCCTGCACCAGCGGGAAGGTGAGACCCACCAACAGGTTACACAGCCAGTTGCACGTAGCACCAAGAGAGATCCCAACAGAGCGAGGGCCCACCGGGAACAACTCTAATCCAGTAATAAACTTGAATTACCATCACCAATAACCATACCATCATACCTAACACCATGCCACCATACCTAACACCTTGCCACCATACCTAATACCATACCACCATACCTAACACCATACCACCATACCTAACACCATACCACCATACCTAACACCATGCCACCATACCTAACACCATGCCACTATACCTAACACCTTGCCACCATACCTAACACCATACCACCATACCTAATACCATACCTAACACCTTGCCACCATACCTAACACCATGCCACCATACCTAACACCATACCACCATACCTAACACCTTGCCACCATATCTAACACCATACCTAACACCTTGCCACCATACCTAACACCATGCCACCATACCTAACACCTTGCCACCATACCTAACACCATGCCACCATAACCTAACACCTTGCCACCATATCTAACACCATGCCACCATACCTAATACCATGCCACCATACCACACCTTGCCACCATATCTTACACCATACCTAACACCATACCACCATACCTAACACCATGCCACTATACCTAACACCTTGCCACCATACCCAACACCATGCCACCATACCTAACATCATACCACCATACCTAACACCTTGCCACCATATCTAACACCATACCTAACACCTTGCCACCATACCTAACACCATACCTAACACCATACCACCATACCTAACACCATGCCACCATACCTAACACCTTGCCACCATACCTAACACCACACCATACCTAACACCATACCACCATACCTAACACCATGCCACCATACCTAACACCATGCCACCATACCCAACACCATACCACCATACCTAACACCATACCATCATACCTAACACCATGCCACCATACCTAACACCATGCCACCATACCTAACACCTTGCCACCATACCTAACACCATACCACCATACCTAACATCATACCACCATACCTAACACCATACCACCATACCTAACACCATACCACCATACCTAACACCATACCACCATACCTAACACCATACCACCATACCTAACACCATGCCACCATACCTAACATCATACCACCATACCTAACACCATACCACCATACCTAACACTATACCTATCAAAATATTTCTCTGCCTCAGTTTTTATTTCTTATTGGAACAGGTAATGTAATAAAAGGAATAAAAGCTAATTTATATGGCATGATTCTTATCCATATACGAATATATATATTTAGTCTTGTTATATTTATTGTGAACATTTTGTGAAGAAATCGTGTACTTTGTTATAACACAAGATGTATGTTGAGAAGCCACTGATCGGCGGTAACGTCATCAGTTTCGGGGTTGTGTACCTGTCACCGCGCGGGTAGGAGAAACATTCGTGACCTACTGCCACTGCTGGAACAAGGAATGACCATTACACGCGAATTTCGTCGAATTGAACTCACTGAAAATGATGTACTTGGGGCATATCTTATTTGTTTTGCAGTGTAATTAGCTGGTACTGGATGTTCCACAGTTGGTCTACTTTCACCTATGAAATGTTTTGTACAAATGTATGCCCATTTAGTAGTTTTGGCCACAGTAATTGCTTCCTGGCTACAAGCTTGTACCCAACGTTAACATATCTCTCAGTCTTTGTTGGGCTTTGGAAATGAAAGCCATCTCACACCTTGCATATCTTCACGGTCTGCATACCTGCTGTCCCTGTTACAAAGGCCATAACAACAATGTCGAGTGGATCCTTTCTTTAAAGACTTCCCTACTGTACTTTGAAACAACACCTGTACTTAATTCCATTGTCCCCAGACATCTTTTGTTACGGTGTGGTGGTCGCGCTTTATCATTCAAACTGATGCAGTGAACCAGAATGTTTGTCCTACTTTGCAGCTGACAACATGCGTACAGGAGGGTTCTATTTATAACAACTTTCGGGGTCGCCGATCAGCGTTATTGAAGAAGAGGATAACTGAGCTGTTGTAGGTCAGGTCTGATATTAGGTTAAAGGTCCGTCAGAATATGGTGTTATAAACTGAGTCTTTATATTAACACTTAGTACTGGGGTGTTAAGACTTACCGGTAGCGATCATAAAAGGCACAGGTCCCAGTCCCATACCGTACACAAGTACATAAGACATGAGGGCAACTATGGCTACGTATGGTGCGTACGATGACGTGGGGATGAGACTGAGGGCCGCCATCAGGACAATTTGACAGACACAACACAGTGCCACGGAGGTAAGCAGCAACACTCGACGACTGCAAAATCTGTAACACAAAGATACGTTATAGAAGTTGATGAGATATTGATTAATTAACTCCTTTATCATCGAGGCATCACAGTATCTCTAACTGTTTACCCTTATATGGGTTAGTCAGGGTGACGAGCATAATGTAAACAGGTATTCGGTAAATCGCTAACATGTTATTACTGATTACGACATGTTCACTCCCCTATCCTTTCTGGACACTAGCAGCTGTGTAATTTCTGTATTTACTGCCGTGTTATGTTTACAGTGATGTATCAAACAGTACCTTCACACACAATACACCTATCATACCCCTCTCCCCCGAGACTCGTACATAAACAACATGGTAACACGGTAAACCCCTATATATTACCCATAACTTCATTCTATATTGCATAAACTGGTGATTTTTTTTAAGCTCTTTTAGATTGTATTGTGGTGGGCTTTTTGGAACAAGTATTGGATGCACACTTGTTTGGACACAGTTATCCCTTCAACTCCATTCGTTCTCTGTGTTTAAGTTTCCTGTAGTATAGGGAGGACTAAAGTATATCAGGATCTCAACACTCCCTATGCCTCACTTGTAACTCAGTAGTAAGTCTGCTCGTGGAAGGATTTTTATGGGTTAAGAGAGGCAAGAAGGGCCCAGAGAGATACTGAAGGCTATGGCTGGTGTTGAGCAAAGCTAAAAAATTGGAAAGTGAACTGTTAATATTTGATTTTGTCATTTGTATTTGATTTTAATTTACCATTAATGTTTGACCGTTTCTTGTAATTTGTGATAATGTTAACATCTTTTTAAACAAATATTTGTCATTATTATAGTTCCCTATATCACTTAATTAAATACAAACAGCATGAAACTGACCATACCATTACAGTATTGTTTTTTCAGTCACATGTTAAAGAGGATTTCTCAATTCTTCTCAACACATTTTTATTTTGTCTTTGGCATTTATTGTCACTTTACTTGACCTCTACATATGATACTCCACAAAGTGTCAATGTCTGGCGCTTTTTTTACATCTACAGTATATTCTTCGACTCGCATCCACAATGTAGCTCAATAACAGCCTCGTGTGAAGTTCTTGTATACACACTCCTTTGACTTTCTGCCACTCACTGGTGTTCATAGACCGCCTCAACTCTCCCAATATAAGGAAATAATCATGTATACTCTAACTGACCTCAGAGAACGTTTATGTTAATACTGTACATTATCCTCTTCGCCTCTGATCGGTCTGTAAGTCAGTTGGGCGTTCGGTCACGTCTGTTACCACACTGTTCACTGATGGCAGGTTCTGGTCATGTTTGGTTCTTAATTTCCTTGAATAACTTAGCGTCGTCCACAAACATTTATACGAGGGAGTGTGTATCTGGAATATAATTTATTAAACAAATTTGTGGGTCTCATTAGGATTTAATACATCAGCCAGGAGTTACTGTCCGAGCTCCAGTAAGCTATAAGTAGACGCCATTTTCTACCGTTCTCGCTGTTTGTGTCATGCATATTGTTTCTTGCATTTCCATGTCTGAAGGCCAGTCTGCTTTTGCCGGGGAGAACTGTCCCAAAGTGAAGGAGGTGAACTTGCCCATCAACACACAGATGGCAGCACCGAGGTTGGCTGCCACGGTGTTCCGTATTCAGCTGTTGTGGGTTATTGTGGTGTTGTTATGGCTCGTGTGGTGCTGTGGATGAGAAATATTCAGTAAACAACTGTGTAAAGAGCGGTGCCAATATCTAGTGTCAGTGATCAGTTACGAGTGAATCTGTCAAAGTTATCTGTGACGGCCTGAGCTGGCTACATATGTCCCTCTAGCTGGGACACTGATGGCCCTTATGGATAAAGTAATGTAAGGTGAAAATAGTTGCTGGTGAGCAGTTAGTGCGAGATCCCCCGACTTTGTTGACATTGGTGGTCAGGTGAGTCCTCAACCACCTCATTAAACTACCTAACACCGCTAACTACCTCCCTCACTCCTGACTGCTCCACCAGACGTGTGGGTGACACAATACTACGAGTGTATCCGTGTGTTTGGTGTTATTAAATTTCATGAGTATAATAGAGTTCACCAGCCAGACGGGCATAAGACCTCGCCTGTCTTGCTGAAGGGCGCCCAACAGACTTACCAGACCAGAGGTAAGTGCTCGTACCACCGCTGGCCACTAACATTATGGATACCACCAACAGCACGAGCCTGATGCCAAGAAACAGTAATATTGATGATTTTAATTGACTACCATAGCAGTCTGGGAAAGAAGCAGAGGGTGCCCTGGATACCCTGGCATAATCATCACTCACAACACTACTACATAATCTGAGTAAGTAAACTTGGTAGATTAGTAAGTTCAGTAATTTTCAGTAACATTCTACAGGAAATTTTAATTATCGTATCTCAATGTTACGTTATAAACCGGTTATTAGGATATATTGCCTTCATACATACTCTCATATAAAGAAACCGAGAAATACTAAGATCCAGGAACAAGGATTAGTTTGGGAGAGTACACGCACGCAAAAAGAAGAATCCATCCTTGTAATAGTCCAAATAATTATGATCAATCCCTAACGGAACATTTCATCTGCTAATAAACACACTCGTTTGAATACGGTGAGACCCTGAATCATCTCAAATCTCGCATACACGCCACACAACGAGAGGCATTCAACGAAAATTGGACACACCTGAAACAACGGGGTAGCGTCACACTATGCCACTATGACGCTGTAACCGGTGACGACAACCGCCACTACAAAGAATATCAATCCCTGACTCAATCTCAACAGCTTATATACATGAGACTGCGCCTAGGGTACAGGTACCTATGGGAGTACATTGGCAACCCTGAGCCTCACCGCACTGTTTGTAAACTTTGTGGCCAACCCGACTCTCACACCCTCTCTCACTACATCCTCACTTGCCCTATGACCTCCTCCTATAGGTCCCCAGCCGTTACCAACACCTCTTCCCTCCCAGACCAGATATCCCTCCTCCTAGTGACAGGCCTGGCATTTGACTTATTAGGGACCTGCCACTCTTTGCCACAAACAGATAAAATGTACCGGGAACTTCCCCCCCCACACTCATCATTCTCTCACTTTATGTAACTTGACAGAACCTATGACCCTTCAGGCTTTTACGCCCTTAATGTACGAGTCATAAAGGCAAGTATGAACTTTTCATACTTCCCTGTTGGGCGCTGTAAACGCTTCTGCGCTTCACCTTGCACAGGATGTAAGGGGGTGCTCAATAAACTAGCCCCCTCGGGGGCAAATCTGAAATCTGAATACGGTGAGAGAAAGTGGAATGAGAATGAATACTTTTTGTTCAGTTAAATATTAAAGTTAATCTCTAATATCACTTCACTTCAGATCACCTAAAGAATAAACTTAAAATCACTCGGTGTTAACGTTGTTACAGCTGTGTTATGCGTCACCTGATCAGTGGTACAGCTAGTATGGCCATGATGCAGTTGATGACGCCAGCACCTATAGCCGCCCCCTGACTCTGGTAAACGTCCAGACCCGCGCTCCGGAAGATCAGTGTTGAGTAGTAGAAAACCTGGCGCCGGGCAGACACAGCAAACGTCAGTCACGAAGGCATGGGGAAAATAGTGACGCCAGTTCATCAAGTAATTCTTAATTTATGCTTATTCGTTGTAAATTACGACTATTAAAAGATATTTAATGTATCTAAAATATGCAAGAAACATTACAGACATTAGCATACTTACAGCGTTAATGCCGGAAAATTGCTGGCCGGCGTTGAAGAGTAGAGTGATGAGGAGAGGTAGTCTGTACTGGCGGAACCTCATAACCCGCGCTAGGCTCCAGTCTCTCTCTGTCACCTCACTGGCGGCAGCGTCACCCAGCATCTTGAGTGTTGATATTTCGGCTTCCACGTGTTTACTGTTTCCTCGTAGTCTGTACAGATCTGGCGAAGGTCATCAGCGTCACCATAACAACATTAATCAACATTAATATTTTAACATATAAAGAAGCAGCGATTTTAGCGGACACCCATACAGTACTCGTACTTCTCCCGCTCAATTTTCTTCCAGGTTGCCAAATATCTAGTGTTGTTGAACGACTATTGTGTTTTATCTTGATGTTTTTTTCATTTACATTTTTTTTTTACATGGGATAGACAGAGCAGCTACTGTTTTGTCTCTCACGTAACAGGATACAACAGTCGTAATCACAGTATTCAGATGATAACACTGTCCTGAACGCTGTTGATAAGGATAAAGATCAAGGCGTTGTGACAGATAAGTTACTGAAGTCTGTGCAACAAGCAAGAGGCAGCAGTGAGGAAAGCAAACCGAGATCTGGGTAATTATAAGGTGTACCATTGATTACAAACAGGAAAATGCTCCGTCAACTGTACAAATCTCAAGTACTGTCCGTCCCAGTCTGGACTACTGTATAAAGGCCTGGAAACCTCACCTCCAGAAAGATCCTAAACACAGAGCCACTAAGACAATTCCTGAACTATGTCATCTAGATCAGCCAACTAAACTGAGGTAACCAATATCCTGAAAACGTGAACCAGGCAACACCAACACGAGGGAACACAAGCTGGCCAAGTTATCATGCTGAACGAACATAAGGTAAATATTTCTTGACACAGAGGCTGGTACACCTATGGCACAGTACTGGGCTACAAAATAACCCTTAGCAAAATTATCATGAAGAATGGAGAGATCCTACACAGGCCAGTTCTCTCGACATGGCCACCTCTAGTGTGTGGCCACAAGGGGAATAGGTAACAGTGATAGTGAATGAGCAGAGCGCTTTATACTGCACAGCTCCATCTTACATCGTCTTATTTTTCACAACACGTTCTCTGCCCTGGATGGTGCAAAACCCTCACTACACACGAATTATGTAGATCAACTTTTACAGATTAGTAGCCAGTCTTAAGTAAAGGACTCTATCTATCTATCTATCTATCTACCACCCATAGGCTCCTTGCTATACCCCCTCCCCCTGCCTACCACCACTCACCTCTGCGTCCTCTGGTTTCGTCACGAGATATGGTGTAGCAGTAGGTGGGTGACTCTGGGAGGGCTGGGTGAAGAAGGAAGGCCACACCCACAAACACTACGTAGCCCCCCAGCAGGTAAGGCCAGCCACACTCATTACCTGGGGAAATGAACATAAGAACATAAGAATGAAGGAAACTACAGTCTCGTTTACACCCAACCCCTATCGCTCATATATCCATCCACCCTGTGTTTGAAGCTATTTCCAAAAAAATGTTTACCTATCTCGCGCCTATATCTAAATTTGTTTAATTTCAAACCATTACTATGAGTTCGCTCCTAGTTGGATATAATTTAAGTATCTTTGTTATATCACCTTTGTTTAGCCCTGACTTCCGTTTACACACTTCAATCATATCGCCCCTCGTTCTACGTCTCTCGAGGGAGTGCAAATTAAGATGCTTTAACCTGTCTCTGTACTCAAGGTTCCTAATGCCCGGGATTAGTCTTGTCATTCTCCTCTGAATTCTTTCTAGGGATTCTATATCCATTCTGTAATACGGTGACCAGAACTGAACTGCGTAATCCAAGCGAGGTCACACAAGCGCAAGATATAGTTTTAGGATGACCTCGCTAATCTTGTAACTAACACTCCTTTGTGTGAACCCAAGTACTTTGTTATTCTTGTTTCGAGCAAATACACATTGTTTACTTGGCTTAAGATTCCTACTTATCATTACTCCTAAGTCTTTCTCACAGTCGGATTTCTCTGTAATATCGTTGTTCATCTGGTATCTGGTTTCTCTGTTTACATCTCCCAGACTAAGTACTTTACATTTGTCCACATTAAATTTCATCTGCCAATTTGCAGACCATCCGAAAAAATTTGTTTAGATATTCCTGTAGTTTTGCGGAGTCCTTGTCAGATTTCATTACACGACCTATTTTAGTGTCGTCAGCAAATTTACTTATGTTGCTGTCTACGCCGATATCTATGTCGTTTATGAATATAATAAATAATAATAGTCCAAGTACTGAGCCTTGGGGTACTCCAATAGTGACGTCACTCCAATCTGATTTAGTACCGTTAATGCTTTCTCGCTGTTTCCTGTCCTGTAACTACGCACTAATCCATTTTAGAATATCTCCTCCAATGCCACGAGCCTCCATTTTTCTTATTAGTCTTTCATGGGGGACTCTGTCGAAGGCTTTGCTAAAGTCGAGGTATACCACATCATAGTCGTGCCCGTCGTCCACTGATTCGAAAAGAGCTGAAAAGAATGTTAATAGATTAGTCAGACATGAACGCCCACTTGTAAAGCCATGTTGGGAATCATTGATCAACTTGTGCTTCTCCAGATGATTTTGAATAGAGTTTGAAATTATTGCTTCCAGCAATTTGCCTACAATTGATGTTAATACTCTGGCAAACATCTCATCGGGACATATGCAATATGTATCTGATAAAGTTGTTGCTGTTTTAAGTTTGTGTTTTATGGTGATTATCGTTGATCATCATTGTATAGGTATAGTGAGTGTTGAGTATTGTGTGGTGTTTACATACATACATAAAGGTTGCCCCTCGTGTAACGAAGATGGCCGGCCCATGGGCCACCGAGGCGTGAATTTGTTTAAGGTGTAGAACCTGTCGCTAACACAACAACCACACCCTGAGTTAACGAGCTGCATGACCCAGTGTTTAAGGTGTAGAACCTGTCGCTAACACAACAACCACACCCTGAGTTAACGAGCTGCATGACCCAGTGTTTAAGGTGTAGAACCTGTCGCTAACACAACAACCACACCCTGAGTTAACGAGCTGCATGACCCAGTGTTTAAGGTGTAGAAGCTGTCGCCAACACAACAACCACACCCTAAGTTAACGAGCTGCATGACCCAGTGTCAAGGAACAGTCCGAGAAGACCGGACAACTCGCCAACTACACTGGCTAACCATTACCCCGGAACACGATCCACAAATCGATTAACATCCAGGTCCCCCCAATTACTGCTGGGTAAACAGAGGCAAATGCCGTAAAGAAACTTGCCCATAGTTTCACCCTAGGAGGTAATACTACACCTGACACCAAGACTTACCCAGAACGTACTGCATCCCCATAATCTGAGACAGCAGGATTCCCATACACATCCCTAGAGGAAAGGTCACGCCCATGATGCCTCTCAGCTCTGCAGGCGCCACCTCCGACAGATACAGCGGCACCAGACAAGTCCCGACACCTGCAGGAACCAGACAATGAAACCTTGAAGCATTTTATCCTTATCACACCTGTTTATCACACCTGTTTATTACATCTGTTTATTACATCTGTTTATTACACCTGTCTGCGTTGTAGTCATGTGTGTACGGTTACTGTGTGTCGTATACTGTGGACCTGAGTATCTGACAACCTTCTCTAACTGCGTGAGGACTGAGTTAGGTCTGCGTGAGGACTGAGTTAGGTCTGCGTGAGGACTGAGTTTGAGGAGAACTTCTGAACATATAATGGTTATGTAGGTTAAGCTGGGGTGTTTAAACTCCATGTGATATAAGCTGGGGTGTTTAATCTTCATGTGATATAAGCTGGGGTGTTTAATCTTCATGTGGTATAAGCTGGGGTGCGTAATCTTCATGTGATATAAGCTGGGGTGTTTAATCTTCATGTGATATAAGATGGGGTGCGTAATCTTCATGTGATATAAGCTGGGGTGTTTAATCTTCATGTGATATAAGCTGGGGTGTTTAATCTTCATGTGATATAAGCTGGGGTGTTTAATCTTCATGTGGTATAAGCTGGGGTGTTTAATCTTCATGTGATATAAGCTGTGGTGACTGGGAGGTGGTTGTTTACTCCTAAGGACGACAATGTTATTTCCTGAGCCGGACAGTCATCACCGAGTCATGACTCTGGGTAAATTTAAGTAGAATTTAACTTTTTTTTATTTATTTTATTGATGTAAAGACTAACTTTTTCTCCCACAGTATAAAGGATATAATATTTTATAAGATATACGCTTAGAAAAATTTATAGGTACGATATCTCCCAAGTGTTAGGACAATGTTGCTGTTGTATCAGGTCTAGAGAAGTTAGGACATTGTTGTTATAATAAAAACATTCACGTTATGTTTACCCAAAAATATTTAAGGTAGTGTTAGTTTCTTTCTCGTGTATGTAATATTTTGTTAAGTACGTCTCTCATACACTGACAGGCAGCCTAGTGTAGAAAATGTCACAACTCCTTCAAGTATTTTCTGGAAAACCTGGGGAAAAAATATATCACACATTAAATAGAGAAAATCTATATGATTGTTTATGTCTAATTAGAAAGTTTATAAAAAATACATAGTTATCCCTATATAGTGTAACATACAAGTGAAGAAAGCTGATAAGAACGGTAAATAAAGATGAATTACTAAAATCAAGTGATTAAAATTTGAGTTGCAAGTCACTAGTGTTATATGAATAGGTCTTCTGATAATTGTAGCACACTGTATATACGCTATCACCTTATAAAATATTTCCATGATAAAACCTCGTTGACACTTGCAAGATATTACCAGATTATTTCACCGCCTCGTATTGCTGTGTGAGACATACTTCTACTAGAGTGGTTGTTCTCTTATTCCCCTTTAAGAATTGTTCCCAATAGGTGTTTATCACTTGACCTTTGAGTTCACGAAATTCTCTGTTAGCTTTGAGGAATGCCAGGAGGTTATCACTAGTTTTATTTTGCTTATAAGTGTTGGCAAGCTGTTCTACCTTTACTTGACATTGGTGGAGTTAAGAGTGCTACCCACGCCCTTAATAAATGAGTTATAAAGGCAAGCATAAACTCAGCATGCTTCCCTGTTGGGCGCTGTAAACGCTTCTGCGCTTCACCTTGCACAGGATGTAAGGGGGTGCCCAATAAACTAGCCCCCCTCGTTGGCAATCTAAAAAAATTCCTAAGAGTGTTCTAGGATGGAGCCTCCGAGCTGCGTGAGGTGAATCTTAATACTCTGGGAACACCTTAATGTAACCCGGATAAACGCAAGCCATAACTAAGGTTTACATATAAATAGTATGATATCCTTAACATAATCCTGAAATACAAGACAAAAAAAGTGTTGAACTCGATAAGCAAACATCTTAACACACACATACATGATAATTTACTGTGGGTTTCAATCTTATTCACATTAGCACTGAACATTACACCTTTATATTCTCCAGTAGCTGTCAACATCACCGTCAACTTGCCTGAACTATTTATTTATTATTATTATCATTATTATTATATATTTATGTTTATTTTCCTTGTTAAATGTCCCTCTCTCAGTTAATCTTTAATAGGAAATACTTTAGAATTATGGGCCTATAATTTTATCGCCAGCCTCCCTCAAAGTCACCGTCTAAGCTGACCACGAATAACACACACAAATTCCTTTACTTCTTTGTAACTTTTATCAACATTTATTTTATCTTATATACTATAGGACTAGGCATGTGTGTGTGTGTCTGTTCTGGGCAGCCGAAACGGCACAATCGTTTTTCATCAAACTTGGTGGAAAAATCGCAAAAAATTCGTAGAGTGGAACAAACCTGGTCCCATGTCGATGGTTTCTTTAGGAAAACATTAGTTAACAATTTTATTTACGATGGAAAACGATGCAAGTCTACGGACTTGGCGCACCCTAATTAACCGTGCAAGTCTACGGACTTGGCGCACCCTCCTTCGCTGTAAGCTGTCACGAGCGTTCAAACTCTCACAAGGGCACGAACGTGCCCGCAATCACTTGTCTTCTACTAAGTTAACTATTGAAGTTAGTACAGCATATTCATTATTTTCTCGGTAATAGTAAATAGCGTTAGTAAAGGTTCAATGCCCACACTGCCTTCTATCTCATTTAACAATCTCGGGGTGTTATAGGTTATGCCATCCTCACCAGGGGAGGATGATTCACCTTTTATTAGTGCTGTTGTTAGTTCGTGGTGCGTTATGGGAAACTGGTCGGTAAGGTCTGGTGAGGAACAGGTTATTTCAATATTGAAACCCCTATTAATGTGTGAG